GATTCTCGGCTGTTTTCATAACCCTATGAGATTTCCCACCATTACTGTTGTAACGTTTTTGTTCAAAATAGACGAGAATTAGGAAGGCCGTAGTCAGTGAGAGAGTTTCGAGTGAACAAAGAACGAGGTAGAGGAAACAGAGAGAGGTTTACTAAATATTCATACATAGAACGGAAATACTTGGTAAACTAGTTCCTACTCAAATTCTCCTATAATGCGACTACTTCTCATATTTATAAGTAGGAGCAATCCATTATCAGAGTAGAAGGGGATAGCAGGAAGTACGCCGAGTCGTACTCTACAAAACCTTCGATTGTAGTTCTTATTCCTGAATCTTACTAAATATATATATATATTTTTTTTTTTCCACTTGGATTCAATATATATATATATATATATATATATATATATATATATATATATATATATATTAGGTATTGTGGTGGATGCAGTAAGAAAGGTAGGAGTGAATGTGTTGTTTTGGTGATAGGACTATTGTTTGTATGTTTGGGTCCGTGTCTGTGACTAGCTAAGTTTAGAATTAAGACAGAAGAAGACCGTCCTTCCCCAACCCCCTTTTTTGGCCTTGTGCCACATTTTGTACAGTAGTACGAATAAATAACTATATATATACATACATATATATATATATATATATATATATATATATATATATATATATATTTTCCTAACTGATGTGCTGATACCATATCATCTGTAGTTATGGTAGCCACGGGTAGCGAAATGTGTCCCAGGAGTTCGAATGCCAGTGCCGTCGATCAGGGTGAGTTTTTCTTACAATCTCTACGCCGTAGGTGGTTCATATGTCTCTTGTGCCGACCACTTTGATTTTGACCCAAATAGATTACTCAATTACCCAATTCACCGAAATATCACACCCCCACCGGCATTACGACTGTTTTCATGGCTGGTATTTCTTTAAATGTCGCCATTTTCTTTTATTCCCTTGTAATTCAGGCAACAATTTAAAGAATATAGTAGTTATTTTTATTCTTGAGAATATTAACTCGACCGGGGATTTCCTCGACGTATGTCTGTCAGTAGAACAATAGAAAATGCTGTTAAATTTCCACGACCGGGAATTAAATAGATAAACTCATGTGATAAAACCCCGATGGATTAACCGAGATTTAGTAAGTCGGTAGATATAGAGAGTACTGAATGAACTGGAGAGTAGGTAGAGGAAAGAAAGAAGACGGTAAGTAAATACTCATAAAGAGAACGGAAATACTGATATTTATTGTATATAAAAATACACAATTTAGGCACAAAGGGGGAATGGGTTGAGGCTAGTCTTCATTTACTATCTTATAGTGATTTTCCAAGCGTAGCTCAGATGTGGCACAAAGCCGAAAGTATAGGACACCCAGTGAGGATCGAACTCATTACTCAGTCATAGTTGTTCTAGCGAGGCAAGCTTGCTAACCATTACACCACCTCAATGTGTCCCAATGGGAAATGGGAAAGTATAAAATAAAATACGGACATGGGGGAAAGGAAAACCCTGACCCAGCCGAGATAAAGGTAAGCCAAAAACAAACTTTGGGAGGTTGGGATCATAACCAAAGAAAAAGCCGGGAACAGGATGTGAACGACACTTACATTAACTAGGTACACAAGTAGGGTGTCTTCTAACCAGGGAAGGGATCCTCAGGAAACCGCCCCGATGTGACAGAAAGACCTAAAAAAGATTATCAAGGATGGCCTCGTTTACGCGAACCAGGCTTGCCTCAGTAACCCACCTTTCGTTGAAATCTGTCGAAATCAATCGCTTTCTATCAGTTCTAATCTTCATCTCGAGTCGATGCTCAAAGAATCGGATTAGATCCGGATGAGAAAGACAGTTACCTCGCAAGACCTCCTCCTAACGCGTCGTCCAAATCACCATTCGGGTCGTGGCCAGCAGCGATATAAACACCATTCGTTTCACCTCAGAATGCGAGGGCGACATATTGTCACACGCATATGCATGATCAATAAGCACGAGCTTTTCGGGAGCGATACGAGACGTCAACTCGACTGGTTCCATAGACGGCAGAGAACGGAAATACTTCTATCAATCAAATACTACTCAAATCCTTCTCTAATGTGGCTACATACCATATTTATAAGTAGTCGCAATCCATTGTTACAATAGTAGAAAGTACGCCGAGTCCTACTATTCAAAACTGGGGAGCCGTTTTTGGAATGCCTCCCCAAAGAAACGTATAGAGAATGAGTAAGATTAGTTGAGTATTAGCGTGTAACCGATTTAACAGGTTTGTACGAATGGATAGTTGACCAGTAACAAAAAGAGACGATAACATTATAAAGATTACTTAGGAAAACAATGGAAGTAGTGGAGTACCTGAACGTTGTTTGCACATAGAAGATGATTATTATGGAAGACCCTTAAAATAAAATCCGAACTTAGACTGAATGATTGATTCGTTTCCTACTGTGACGTCGCTTGGTCCAGGGTTGATCCTGGTCGCGGCGCCGATTGTGACGTCGCCCCCACTGGTCGCAGCGTCGACTCTGTCGTTCGATCTCGTTCGCGGCTCCAGTTGTGACGTCACGTGGCTGCCCAAGGGTCTGATATCCTGGTCACGGACAGCACCAGTTGTGACGTTTTTGCCGCGGCGTCATCTGTTCGCTCCTCGCTGCTCCAAGTGTGACGCTCCAACCCTTTGGTTAGATGATTACCAGCCTCGCCGTTCCCAACTCGCTTCCAACGCCTGGTTACTAGGGTAACTGCACTGATCTCCGGTCTGCCTACCCACGTTGTGATTAGATCTGAGACAGACGGGATCAAACAGGGATTGGGGCCGTACGCAAGCATGGTTCGACGGGGTGGAAACACACAAGTAAAAGAAAAACTCACGAGGCCAAAAATTACTGATATAAAAAGGGTAACAACCTTTTATATCTAAATGTTCGTTACATAAAAATTATTCCTACTTCCCGACCCGTTTTGTGGACTGTGGCACCAAGCTTCTACCATACAACTTAAAGACTTCGAGTTGCCTACTCTCTAGAAATTTGCATGTCGGGGTGTGGTTTGTTTCGACACTGGGCGCTGATCTCTACTAGTCGTTCACGGCTGATTCTTCTCGTTGTCAGTGCGCGAATCGACTTCTTCTCTTCGGCTTGAGTTGGACGAGCTTATTCACTTCGGCTTGAGTTGGACGAATTTCTTCACTTCGATTTGGGTTGGACGAATTTCTATTCTTAGGTTTGGTTTGGACGAATTTATTCACTTCGACTTGTCTTGGATGAATTTCTCTTCATAGGCTTGGTGTGATTCCAACTCCAACTGCAACTTCTTCTCGCCAAGGTCCGAACTCTTTCCTCTGCCGTCCGGGGCTGAACTGATTTCTGCCTGTTTGGCCTGCAATTCCAACTTAACTTCTCATCGACTTTCGGGCAATCTTCTTCACTTCGACTTGGGCTGGACGAATTTCTTCACTCCGGATTCTCTTGCCCGCAAAGGGGCGAATGAACCGGGTCTGACGCCCGCGTTCAAGCTCCCTCGCTGTCCACGGCGTAGCTGCAACTCATTTCTGTCGATTGGGGTCCTGCTTTTATTGACGCCGCAACAAACTGGGGTGGGTCTGTCGGCGCCAGGGTTTTCTTGATAATTCCAAAAGTCGCATTATTTCTGATTTCCCATTATCGCTCTTACTTTCACCCCTACTTCCTCACAGTGCCTCTGGAGGGGAGGCGCATACCCATTTCTCCTGGTCTCTCGTATGTCAGGTGACCGTTTTCGACCAATGGGTCCTGGTCGAGCGTCCTTTTCCTTTCGTCGCACATCACGTGATCGCTCTCGGCTAATGAGATTCTGGTCGGGCGTCTCTTTCTCCCTCGTGACGTCTCCAATCGGGCGTGGCCAACCCGGGGCTTTGTTCTGGGGAAGAAACACCTTGCTAAAAAAAAACAAAACAAAATCCAATTTGGCCTTTTTCGCACGCACGAAAATGACAATCTCGGCTTTCCTCACATTTCGCCTTTGTCAAAACAACCCGCCGCTAATTAGATGTGACTTCAGGAAGAATTTTTCTCGTCCTGCTGGCGCTCTCTGTGAGCTAAAACAATTGCTTTCACCTCTTTTCTTTCACTCAGGCCTGTTAATAAAATCTTAATTATCTGAATTGAAAATATCTTCACCTATCATCGTGGGGGTTCTTATCTTCAACTCTAGAGCTGGTCAAGATCTGTATACAATTCCAGCGGTCACCTCTCATCTCAATGACACCCTTTTTCGATTGTCACTTATTAATATTTCTTTTTCCATTGTTCTAAAAATCCCATTTCTCCAACCAAATTGACAAGGAACTCTCACATTCCGCGGACACGAAAGTAGGTCAGGCGTTCTGACCGATATCTGGTATTTTATCAATCGTCCGTCTTGATATCATGTCTTTTTCCCTTTCTTTCTCTAAACTCTATTCTTTCAAATAACAATTTCTATTGTTCGTGAATTTCGGTCAGGCGCGTTGGCCTAGATATCTCTTGACACCTGTTTTCGCTTATGACCGGGTTTTGTATTATCTATTTCTCCTTCTCTTTTCCCTTCTTTCCCTCTTTTTTTTTCTTCTTCTTCCCTTCGGATCGCCTAAATACAATTAGAGAATTATTCTCAAAACTCAATTATTCTTCGTCTAAATAACTAACAACTGGTTAATAAACCGAATAAAAATTAAATCATATTTCTATGAATATCTCTTTTTAGTCTTTCTAATAATGCAGGGTGCCACACTACGGCTTATCAACCCTTTGCGCGTTAATTAGAGTCAGCAAATATTTTTAGATTGCAAGGACTTTTTTGAGATAATGAATATTTAGTGATACAAATCTTACTAATTAACCCATAGGTATGGGGAGAAGGGGTAGATTCACACCTTTCGCAAGAATATTTGTGCGTAAGGGAATATAAATAACCCAACGAGAATTGAAACTCGATTTCACAATTTCGGGCCATTATCTATTACCCCACCTTGCAATATTTGGTATTCCGAAGTGGTCACCCATCTAGGTACTGACCAGGCTCGACGTTGCTTAACTTTGCTGATCGTATGGAAACCGCTGTTTCAGTATGATGTGAGCGTAAGCCACAAACATAGAAATATTGTTCAGAAGCTCAGGGTTTCCAACGTGTTCGATTTGCTTGTCGAAGATGTTTTTCAAAGTTTTTTCTGGGAGTATTTTTCTATAAATATCTTGTTACTTTCTACAAGCTTCTTCGTAATTATTATTAATATTTGAATTTCCATCAGGTCACGTGCAAATTTTATTTTAAAATCTTCAAAACAACCCCCCCTGGACTACTATATAATTGAACATTTTACTGAAAAACGTTTGAAATAGAAGTGGTTGAAATTAAAACTCCAAAAAAAAAAAAAGAAAAATTATCTTTCAAGTTATTTTCTCTTTGTTTTGCTTTGAAATCTCCAAAACAACACATGAATTTCTTTGTCTCTCCGACTTTTACAATAAAAGAATCTTTTTTTCAACATGCGTGATTCTTAAGTGAAAAATAAAAACATAACTTTATTTTAAAGTTACTTTCCCTTCCAAATGCTAAAAACAACAATAGAAAATTTTAAAATGCGTTTTAAAAAAAAAAATCTGACAAAGCTTTGAAGTTTTAGTTATAGTTTTAATTTTAGGATAATGGATTACATTTAATCGCAAAAAAAAAATGTTTTTGAGTACTTGAAATCAATAGCAGAATGATTTTAAAAATATGTTTACATTTTATCAGAAAAAAATATGGATTCGTCCCCGATGAAAGGTTTGTCAACACAAATCTTAATCTTTTAGAAATAAAATATACTTTCTAAAAAAGTTTTCTAAAATATGTGTGTCAAATATTTAATCTGGAGTAAAATATTTATACTATCTAAAATATTATATAAATTATTGACATCATCTACAAGAATTAAGGAATATACGTAAATTAAAGCCCTTTAATTAACTTTAAAAAAGTTTTACAATTTTGAAATGAAGTTTGCCAATTATAAAGACACTTATTGAAATATGCATGACACACAACACAGGATTTTTCTCTCGTCGTTCGAAAGGCTAAAGCTAAGTAGGAAAGACATGTGACTGAGCTAAATTCTTAATTACGTCACATATTATCTTCCATATTTGGAAAAAAATCCAAATACAATTTCGGCCTTCTTCAGGTGGTTGGAATGTCGAACTGAACCCTTTATTTCGCTCACTGGGGTAGACTATTCTAGTTCCACGTGCCATGTTTGATGGATGTCAGTTATCAGTTATCTCCTGTTAATTTCCCTCTGAAAGTTCTCCACTGCCTTAACCAGGTATTGAACTCACACTCTTTCGGTCCTGTCACTGGATCTAACCAACGCCTTTATCCACTGTATCAAGGACACGTGGCACAGGGGATAAAGGCGTTTACCCCAGTGAGTGAAATAAAGGGTTCAGTTCGACATTCCAACCACCTGAAGAAGGCCGGAGCGTACAACGGCTGAAACGTTGTGATAAATATGGCGACAAAGATGAAGACAACAGTCCGAATAATGTAAATAATGTAGAAGGCTGCCTATAATATATTTTATTTGGAACGGTAATTAAGATTTTAAGATTAGAAAATATTTTATTTTTATTGATTTTTTTTTTTTTTTTTAAGATTCAAGGTAGATTTGCTTCGGACATGTTACTTAAAATGGTTTCCCCTGCATAATTTTTGGTGTAAAAATTTAATTAAATTATATGCGGAGAAAGAAACAAACTTAAAATATTACTGCAAAATATATCTATAAACCTTTAAACATAATCTAATTTATTAACTTCCAACAATTTCTTCATAATCTGATTAAATCAAATTTTGAGGAAGATTTCTTAATTCAAGTTATTTTGCGAATTTTCCGTTCCATGTTTACACAAGACAAAGATAATTTTTAACGAAATATTTTCGGTACTTATTTACATATAAAAATCCTCCAATTTGCTATTTGAAAAAAAAAATGATTCTTCCTTAAAAGAACAACATTTGGTTAGCTAAATAACTCAATAAACCACACTGATAGGTAAATAGTTTCAAATATATAATTTGAAGTGTATTTGAAATGCATTTAAGGGTGTAAGGATACAGAAGGCGCTTACCGAACTTTGGTGGAGATAAGTCACGTGCATCACATGACAGGCGCTTAGTGACTTCACTGCATACAGTGAGCAAAGCGGCAGTCAAATACAGTTTTGTTTCCAGCAACTAAACGGTAAGGTTGCTTTCTTTTAATGTTCCAGAGACTAAATCTGCCTCCCCAGCAACTTACAAGTCCATGGTGCCATTTCCCTTTGGGGATACATCTTTGCCAGATATAGGAAGCAACTCCAGCACGAAGACCTTTATTAAGAAAAATCCAAGATACGTTATTTCCCGTGCGTGAAATATGTCCTTGCATGGGGTATAGATGAATCCGGTCCGTTTGATTCTGGAGTGCTAAAAATGGCTTCTCCAAACACAGGAATATCATTACATTATACGTAAGATGTTTCGTTTTTGTTTCTCCTTACACTCTGCTTTACTATGTAGATATATGTGATACATTATTCTCCGCGTGGGACACACATGTATTAATGGGAGAAGAAATCTTTATTCCATGTGTGGCACCCTGCATTATTAGAAAACTGAAAAGAGATATTCACAGAAATATGATTTATTTTTATTCGGTTTATTAACCAGTTAATAGTTATTTAGAGACGAAGAATAATTGAGTTTTGAGAATAATTCCCTAACTGTATTTAGGCGATCCGAAGAAAAGAAGAAGGAAGAAAAAAGAAAGAAAGAAAGAAAAAGAGAAGGAGAAATAGATAGTACAAAACCCGGTCATAAGAAAACTAAAACAACACAGGTGTCAAAAGATATCTAGGCCAAAGTACCTGACCGAAATTCACGAAAAATAGAAATTGTTATTTGAAAGAATAGAGTTTAGAAATAATAAAAAGAATGAAAGGGAAGAGACATGATAACAAGACGGGCCGCGAGCGGATAGACACACGCTCGCCCGGCACATATCAAATGTCAAAATTATCAGGTCAAGCACTTGATCTAATTCCGTGTCCGCGTAGGATGGAAGTTTGTTAAAGTTGGCTGAAGTAATAAGTTTTTTAGAACAATGGAAAAAAATATTAATAAGTGACAAACGCAAAGGGTATCATTGAGATGAGAGGTGACCGCTGGGAAATGTGTACAAAAACAAAACATTGGTACACAAACCCTGACCAGCTCTAGAGTTGAAGATAAGGACCACCCAAAATGATGAGTGGAAGATATTTTCAATTCAGATAATTAAGATTTTGTTAAACAGGCCTGAGCGAAAGAAAGAGGTGAAAGCAATTGTTTTAGGCGCCGACAAGGCGGAGAAATTCTTTCTTTAAGTCGCATCTAATTAGAGGCAGGCTGTTTTGACAAGGGCCAAATATGAAGGAAACCGAAATCGTCATTTTCGTGAGAAAAAGCCAATTTGGATTTTGTTTTTTTTAGCAAGGTGTTTCTTCCCCAGAACAAAGCCCCGGATTGACCACGCCCGATTAGAGACGTCACGAAGGAAGGAGGGAAGATACCGACCAGAGTCTCATTAGCCGAGGGCAGTCACATGATACATGAGGGAGGAGGAAAGACGCTCGAGAGCGGTCACCTGACATACGAGAGACCAGGGGAAACGGGTATGCGCCTCCCCCCCAGAAGCACTGTAAGGAAGTAGGAGTGAAAGTAAGAGCGATAATGGGAAATCAGAAATAATGCGACTTTTGGAATTATCAAGAAAACCCTGGCGCCGACAGACCCACCCCAGTTTGTTGCGGCGTCAATAAAAGCAGGACCCCAATCGACAGAAATCAGTTGCGGGGCGGACGGCAAGAGAAGTTGCAGCTGGACCGCGGACAGCGAGGGAGCTTGAACGCGGGCGTCGGGCCCGGTTCATTCGCCCCCTTGCGGGCAAGAGAATCCGGAGTGAAGAAATTCGTCCAGCCCAAGCCGAAGTGAAGAAGATTGCCCGAGAGCCTAAGAAGAGTTGGAGCTGCAGCCCGAAAGTCGATGAGAAGTTAAAGTTCAGCCCCGGACGGCAGAGAGAAGAGTTCGGACCTTGACGAGAAGAGTTCGGACCTTGACGAGAAGAGTTGCAGGGCGGACGAAGAAGAAGTTACTTGCAGTTGCGCCTAGAAGAAGTTGAAATCAAACCAAGCCTAAGGATAGAAATTCGTCCAACTCAAGCCGAAGTGAATAAGCTCGTCCAACCAAGCCGAAGAGAAGAAGTCAATTCGCGCACTGACGGCGAGAAGAATCAGCCGTGAACGACTGGTAGAGATCAGCGCCCAGTGTCGAAACCAAACCACACCCCGACATGCAAATTTCTAGAGAGTAGGCAACTCGAAGTCTTTAAGTTGTATGGTAGAAGCTTGTGCCACAGTCCACAAAACGGGTCGGGAAGTAGGAATAATTTTTATGTAACGAACATTTAGATATAAAAGGTTGTTACCCTTTTTTATCAGTAATTTTTGGCCTCGTGAGTTTTTCTTTTACTTGTGTGTTATCACCCCCGTTGAACCCAGCTGGCATACGGCCCCAACCCCTGTTTGATCCCGTCTGTCTAAGATCTAATCACAACGTGGGTAGGCAGACCGGAGATCAGTGCAGTTACCCTAGTAACCAGGCGTTGGAAGCGAGTTGGGAACGGCGAGGCTGGTAATCATCTAACCAAAGGGTTAGAACGTCACACTTGGAGCCGCGAACGAGATCGAACGACAGAGTCGACGCTGCGACCAGGGGTGGCGACGTCACAGTTAGTACCGTGACTAAAGGATCGACCCTTGGGCAGCCACGTGACGTCACAATGGCAACCTCACATATAACTGTTGATCACGTCGCGATTTTATTTAGCTGACGCGATCTTATTTACCGCCGTTAACTGTTGATCACGTCGCAACATGAATATGCAAACAAATATGAAATGTTGATTTCTCAGTAGGTAAAGGATTATTGGATGTGGCGTGTGCTATGAACGCGAAAGGAGAAATTAAAAATAGAATATTATGAGACTATTGGGGATAGATAACAATTGACCCATGACATGATG